TTTTTTTTTTTGGTTTCTTTCCCCCCCAAAAAACCAAGATGCTAGCATGTCGTCTGTACAGAGCATTTTTTACACTTGCCATTTGGCAAGCCATGGCAGAAGCGCAATTTAACAACCCTGTGGGCGTTGACATCTGGTGTGGCAAAGCATATCGAGCTACGTGAGTAATCCCAAGCGACAATGAGTAAAGGTAGTAAAGGCCGGTGCTGATGTGTCTCAAGTAATGCTTCTTTCAATCCAGGAGGCTCATTCGAGAATCCGTCCTATTCGCCTGAACCTCTCCTCAGACTTAAGGTAAAACCTCGGATGAGTATCTATCTCGATACTGAAGATGCAGGAAGCTTGATTCTCGATGCTAGTATATCGTACCAGCATGGCTCCCCAATTTCCACAAGTTCCGTGACCGACGTGTCTGGGGGACGAGCTCCACCATTGAAAGTAGATATCCTGTGCGACGGCAAACGATTTAAAACGACAACTATCGACGTTGGCTCTACAGATAACGAGATTCCAATTCGTCTCGATGGCCTCTCGGCGAGTCCACAGCCATACAATATTACAGTGAAGGCAACTCTCTCCAGTAATGGTGCCGTCTATATGACCTCGACAAAGATTTACCGGTTGCCGCATCCAGACAATTACGGGACAGTCTCGAGGATTGACAATCTCTTTGGAGGCCTTTGGTATCAGAAAGGAAAGCAGATGCCTTGGGAGTCGATATTCCCCTACACATACTACGGTAAGCCCGTCGCCAACATATCCTGGTGTAGCAGCACAACTAACCGTGCTTAGTACAATGGAGCCTGTACTGGGATAACAATGTCACTACACTGGACGAGTTCGCCGCCATGGGCTACAACCTGATCCACATCGTGCCTACCGGCAGCCTGGGCGATAGCTCATTCCCCTGGGACCAGTTCCAGCCGTATCTAGACCGTGCCCGTGAGCTAGGCATCTTCTTCCAGTACGACGTGATCTGGAGCCCCTCAAACAACACCGCAATGATTGAGCAAGTCACGCGGCTGCGCAGCCATCCATCCATCCTCTTATGGTATCAGAGTGATGAGCCAGACGGCAAGAGCAACCCTATTAATTCAACCGGTCTTGCACGCGAGAAGATATGGGAGCTCGACCCTTACCATCCATCTTCCTTAGCTCTGAACTGCTATGACTTCTATTATTCCGACTATGCTAAGGGCGGTGAGGTCATTTTGAGCGATGTCTACCCCATCAGTACCAACACTAGCTGGTCGACGGTGTATGGGACCCCGTGCAACGCGACGTATGGCTGCTGTGGCTGCGACGACTGCAATGGCGTATTCGAGGACATTTCGGATCGCATTGAAGAGTTCAACCGTCGAGACGATATCCTCGGCTGGGAGAAGACACACTGGTCGGCACCCCAGGCTTTCGGTAACGAGACATTTTGGACGCGGTACCCGACTGCCGCGGAGGAGGTGGTAATGGCTTTACTAGCCGTCAACCACGGCGCTAAGGGCCTGGTGGCGTGGGATTTTCCAACAACGGCTGAGCTCTCTGTAGTCACGCAGAAGTTGGCAGGTATTATGACGAGCGCTATGATCGCCAAGTTTCTCCTTCAGACGCCGTTGATGAAGTTGACTGTGGCGGGTGGCAGGAGGGTAGACGCCACGATCTGGGTTGACAAGCACAAAAAACAGGCACTCCTCAGCGTTATCAATCTTAATTATAGTGATATGAAGGGAGTAGTCGAAGTTTCCTTGCCAAATGGACTGAAAATTAAGTCGGTGTCTCAGACCCTTTGGGGAGATGTCGTATGGGAGATCGATAGCCCGAAGATGGTATCTACATCGCGTGGTCTTCTGGGGCTACAGGTGTCCCTAGTAGTACTGCGCCTATTTGATTAGGCTTGACATCAACAACTGTTTGAGCGATGTTAGTTCATTTGGGATACATATATAACAGGTGATTCGCAATAAATCATATGCATTCCACCGTCGCCAAACAGTTATTGACCTCAGACCGCTGATATATTTGATCTTCGGTCACGTATCATCGCTTGGCATTCTAAATTTGGATTGCCCCGTCCGGATTAGGTAGGCGCTGCTTCGCCTAATACCCTCTACTCGAGAAAGCAAATTCATAATTTTGATTGTACCCAATAGGATTCTAGCACGATGTTTAAAATATCGCGAGATAAAGAACATTATCAGCCCCACAGAACACAAAATTCCAAGTTGGGATACAGTCGACTCTGGAACTGAACTTTCACGAGATTTTGAGTGACTTGATCAAAATAGAGTTGGCTTTTAGCCCGGGGGTTTCTCGAGAAATATTGGAACAACGTCGTCACTTTTCTCAATCGATGGCCGAGCCTGGGTTGTAGGACACTGTCCTTTTCGTCAAAGGGCCAGCTAAGCAAGGACGGGATATCTGCGCCGACGGAGAGAAGAGGCATAGAAGTCATCCATCACTCAACGTGGCCATGTTGCAGTCTACACTCCACGGCCATAGCATACCGGAAGAAAAGAAAATGGAGTTGAGGCTGAGAGACGTAGTATAGTAATCTGATTACGGTAGGAAAAGCCCATCAATTCACAGTACAGACGAGCGGAAGTCTCAACGACCGAACATGCGAGTTGCTCGGGAGAGGTCGGGTAGATGAGTACACGAAAGGGAGCTTTGGTATAGACACAGACTCAGTTGCCGATTCGGCAAGGAGTATATACACCAAGTCGATTATTCAGATTGAGATAAGCAAAACGAGGCAGTAGTAGTCGGTACACAATACCTTCACACAGACAGATGCTGAGCTGCTTAGCCAAGGTGCCTTGATATAAGTGAGGATGACAAATGATTGGCAGTCAAGGAAGGTCTGGCCAGAGGAATCAAGGCCGCCAGCACAGTAGGAATGCAGCATGGCATGACCTGTTCATGATAATCAGTAAAGCAAATCTTGTTCACTTACAATGAGGGAAGGCGTGGCGTAAGGATATTGTTTATATCCGATATTGTCTGTCTACTAGACGTGAGGGAAGTATCTGACAACCTTCAAGTTGTGCATAAAGGCTGTCCCTGACTGCAACTTCGAACTTGCTATTTCAGGGCTCAGTGAATACAGGTATGGACTGTCACTGGATTCAACATGAAGTTCGCCATCAAGCTACGCCGTAATTCAGTTTGGCATCAAGGTGCCAGACTTAGCTAACAATTTTGTGTAAGTAAAAATGCATCATTATTGATAACAGGTACTCAGATCGTCGTAGAGCTTGTAATTGGGCGAGTTCTGTTCTACTAAGGCGTTTCCACATTGAACCTGCTCATGCGGAAAGGAGAAAGGTCCACATCGAATTCGTTTCCCGTTGCAAAAGACGCCGCTGCCTCCCCGAGGGCACTGGCGAACTTGAAGCCGTGACCACTCAAGCCACTAATAAACATGACATTTTCGTTCTCCGGCAACGTGTCCACGATGAAGTCCTCATCCGGCGACATGTCGTACGTGCACGCGGCGCCCCGCAGAGGCACCCCGACGCCAGGCAGCATGCAGCGCAGAAAGCCGGACACCTCGGTGCTATCCTCATTGAACGCTCCGAATGGCAGGCGCTGCTGGTGCGTCTCGATGGGTTGGCCGCTGTCGTGCCGCCCGACCTTCAGCCCGTTCGCGGCGGTTGCTGGGAAGCCGTAGTATTGCGTCATGTCTGTCAGCTGGACAACGAAGGCGGGAAAGCCTTCGTCCTCATAGTAGGCCCCTTCAGCCTCGTGCCAGGAGAAGATCTTGCGGACGGGTGTGACGGGCAGGTCGGGCAGTAGTTTCTTGACCCATGTCCCGGCGCTGATCAGCAACTTGCGTCCCTGGTGCCGCTGCCCGTCGGCGGTGACGACTTCAACGCTGCTCCTGCCACTACCCTTGGCAGTGGTGTGCTTGATCTCGGTCACGGGCAGGCCGAACAGCTGTGTGCAGCCTGCCTTGCCTGCCAGCCTGACAAATGCTTCGATCGCGTTCTCGGAGAGCAGGTACCCGGCCTGGGGCTCGAAGACGCCGATGTAGCCGTTCGGCGCGGCGACGCCAGGCCACTTAGCGCGGACCTCCTCGGCCGAGAGGACCTGGCAGCCCGGCAGCGCGTGCTTGTGCACGGCGGCGGCGGCGTTGGTGATGAAGGTCGTGCCCGCCGGGCCAAGGTTGAGGACGCCGGCGCGGTGGAAGATGTCCGTCTGCGACTCGCGGGCCAGCTCCTCCCACAGTGCCTGCGCCCGCAGCGCCAGGGGCACGTAGGCTAAGCCCTCGCCGTATGCGTGTCGAATGATACGCGTGCTGCCGTGGTGGCTGCAAGATTCATGACCGTCAGCGTCAGCTGTCACTTGACATGCGACATGAGTCTTGATGCGTGGGGTGGGGGGAGAACAAACTCACTCACCTCCCTATGTCATGCGGTGGGCAACCGGAATCTATCGCCAAGACCTTCAGGCCGGCTTTGGTGCCATAGAAGCTCGCGGCGGCACCGACCGATCCGCTTCCGACGATGATGAAATCATACGTCATTGGTTTGAGCTGTAAAGTGTATTTTAAGTCTCTTTCTTTGTTGGGTTATTCTATTGTGATTAATTACGGCGATTACAGCATAGCAATCAGTCATTTACTATGCAGTAGGCATGCATGCGAATGGAGTGGGGAAGGCTTTCACACAAAATTACTGGCGGAGTTGAGATTCCTTAAGCTACTCCAGCTAGTCTGGGAAGTGACGACGATGATCCCTGTCATGCTCTTGCACTTCAACGACAGTGGACCTGATGCAATCTCTTGCGCAAATATAGTCCTCCGCTCTTAAGGTACGATATATACAGGAAGATCGATTGTGTTCTGTGTGGCGAGGGCAGGTGTTTTAGATGCGGCCAGGCTGGCCAGGATGGTGTGATGTTCATTAGCGTCTCAGTTGAGCTCCTGAGCACGTTTGTCGTCAATGCCGTCACCTGCCCCTGCGTGCGAGAGGAACTGCTTCTACACCTGATCCAGAAAGCACAGAAACAGTTCCACATACCCACCCAATAGCTCTGATCTTAGATAAACTTACAAGTAATAGTAGCGACAGAGTAGAACCCAAGGCGAAGCAGAAGTGGGCCCCTGTCTCTGCTAGGGAGACTGGCAGGGAAGATGCAGCGGCTGTCGATGGGCGGCTGTTAGTGTGGCATTGACTGTTGATGGTGGAATCTGCGGTGGGCGTTTCCGACAAATGATAGAGACTGCCGATGTGTGTAGACGGGATTCGTGCGAGGCTATCCACCTAGCTGGCCAAGTCATGGCTAGGGCGAGTTGTGTAGTATGCGACAAAGAATCTTCGCCTTCTGTATATCTTATTCGCTTGATATCTGATCTATTATCATTCATTTGTAGCCGAGGGGATCATTTCTAGCCAGATGAATTGTAGGCATAGACTCATGGAATAGAAATGTAGGTACGCTAACAGACCCAGTGCAGAGTATCAACTTCGGACTCAATCTTCTCGATCGGATAGGCAGGTTGGGCTACTCGTATGATGACCTTAGTCGGAGAGCTATTCTATGAGGGGCCTAAGCACACTGGGAACTGGTCCCCTGGACACAACCTTTCGATCGCGGTTCGACAGGAGGCTAGTATATGTGCTAAGCCCATGAAATACAAAGGTTATAGTAGTATGGACAAGGTTCTTGGTAGACTAGATGAGCTTGAGGGGTGTGAGGAGCCTGAGTGTGGTGACGATGGTAGTGATGGTAGTTGTAGATTTCTCAAGAATTTCTAGATGTCTGCTGTTGGCATCGACAAGGATGGCAGCAAAGCCTCTTTTAGTGTCGTTAAAGAAGTTTGCGAGGACCAGTGAACAGTGTACGTGCAACGCCACATCCCTTCGGCCAGGAAGTCTGCCGCAATGACGTTTGTATTGATGCTGACAGATGGTAGGATACCAAGCAAGCGTGGTATGTGTACAAACAATGTAATTATAGCAACAGATCAAATTTTTAACCTATGGAGTTCTGGTAGCCTTGAATTGCCTCGACTGTATGATTGAGTGCCAGCGTGTAACATTTCTCTTTATCTAGGTTCAGCGACTATTGACTATCTAGCTCTGAGCTAGACTGTGACACTAATCATCAACAAGGAGACCAAGTGAATTCTAAATGCTTTACAACACCATGTTTTTGCTCTTCCCTCCTTGGGAAGATGCTGCTCACTAATATAGGCTTCTCGAGTCGAAGGTCTATGTGTTTTTCGCCTCCTATCTCAGTCTCCCACGAGACTGTCGCAACGTTGTCTTTCCCCAACGCTACTCTTGCCACTATTGAATCGCTTAACAGAAGACGTGGCTTGAAGAGCAGTGCCTTGCAACCCGGAGCAGTGGGCTGTATGCCAGCCAACTCTGTGCAATACTCGTACAACGGGACACTGCCCCACGCATGGCAATCCGACCTCTGACGAACATTGTCCTCCTCCCAGGTCGAGAGATTATCAGCGAGCATTTTCCGCCAAGGGTTCCAAACAGTTGGCCAGAAAGCCTCGTATGCCTCATCTCCCGCCATTGCAAAGGCACGAAGCACGTAAAATTGCATCACGTACGAGCACTTAGAAAATGGTCTCTTGCCGATAAACGTTTCTCTAAGAAGACGAGCGCGGTCATTTGGATCTACAGCACCACATAATACGCCAAAGACTTGGCAGTGCTGTGAGTAGGAGGGACCGTTAGTATCCGTGACCACATCAGCTGTCGAGTCGGTAAAAAAGCGTCCGTCAAAACAGTGAGCATGGATGGCTTTAACAGTCAAATCAGCACGCGACTCATATTCGTTCGCATGACCTGGACGACCGACAGCCCGTGCAAGACGCGCAGCTTGGTACAACACGAGACTGTATAGCATGCTGAAAAATGTATGACGATTGGACGTTCGACCTGCGGTGGGCACTCCCTTGTCTGGATGCGCGTCAGTCGCACCCCAGGTGGTCACCCAGTCAACATACTGCCACACGTCTTCGGGAAGCCCGCTAACGAGACCAAGAGAGTCAACGTGCGTGGCAAAGAACTCGAGCACCCCATCAATCCGGGGGAGGAAGGAGCGGGTAAATGGCGTATCCCCAAAGTAGAGGTGATGATCGCAGACTTGGAGAATCCAATAAAGCGAGAAACCAGCGATGATTTGCGGTACGTGTGATGGGAAGCGAGATTGCGTCAGGCCTTCTGTAGTAGTTGATGCGGCAAAGTTGGTGATAGCCTGGCGCATGAGGCGATCGTCACCAGAGAGCAGATAGTGGAAGAGACCAACGGAGCGTGAATCGCCAGAATATCTAGAGCAACTGTTAGCCATCATGAAAGAAATGCCCAAGAAGTACTTGAAATAAGACTTACTGAAGCTGTTCGTAGAATGGACAGTCAGAATAACCATCAAACATACAGTTTCTCAGTGTTCGAATAGAAACGTCCCAAATTTGCTTGCTCTGCTTATCCCCAGGATTGCTCCAGCTTGCCTTAACATTCAATGGATAATTTACCTGTGTAGCATTGAATGACAACAGCTCAATTGGCTCTGCTCCGGCAGTGATCTCGAGTCGCATCATTCGAAAAGTTCGGAACCAGAATGGTTCATACCTGACCATTTGACTACTAGGAAGGTCAATCGTCACTTCGTCGTAGGGACCGATGAGATACCCCTTATCGGCATCTAACCGATCAGCTTTCGAACGAAAGAATGGGTAATTACGTGGCTCAAGCTCATAACCTTCAGAATAGGTGATCTTGAGTCTGATGCTAGATTGTTTTTCTGCCCTGAAGGCCCATTGCAAGAATGCTGTTGAGTGAACTTCTGCCTGCACCTCAAGTGTGTGTGAAGATCCAGCTTCTAAAGTCACAGTGGCTTGTCCTGATAAGTATGCAGTCCATTCACTCTTACTTGTAAGACTTTGGCAGGAGTGGATGGTATTCACATTGATCCGGCTCTCCTCTGGCATAGGGATGATTCGTGGGCGGAGACGCCACGGCGAAAGCTCGCCGTTCAATGTCTTGATGTCGTAGGGGACGGGTGTTACCGGGGGATTGGGCTGAGTCTGGCTGATTCGCTCATTAATCTGTAGAAGAAGGCGTTAGTTTGGAAAGACTTTTAGCAAGTGACCGCACCATCACTTCAGCTTACATGCAGAAAGCCATCATCAACCACACCTGTTGGAAATAGAACACTGTCGTCCACTTGGGCCTGCCAATTTTCTTTCGAACTGAGATCGATAGTTGTCGCATTTTTCTGCAGAGTACCAGTTACCGTGAAGCCGGGATTTGATGTCCGCGAAAATGGCATTGCGCTACGCGAGGCAGCGAAGTATCGGAGCACCACAAATGTAACCACGTTCCTCCCTTGATTCAGAAAGGGGCCAATGTCTATCATGTCATAGTACCAGATCCATGGACTACTTCTAGAGGGGCCGACAGCGACGCGGGTTCCATTGATATAGAGCTTATATCGAGTGTCTGCAGTAAAGTACAGATAAGCCGTTCCAGGGCAGAAGTCAAGCTCAAATTCTCTCGTAAACTTGACAATCCTTCCAGCCGTATTGATCTGAGAGGCATCGACCCAGTCAGGCGTCCAGACCCAGTTGGCCTGGAGCGCACTAATCGTCTACTGAAGTTTTAGCTGTGTCGCGTCTTGATGTCAATGTTGTGGCTTTCGAGTTTCCATACCTTTTGCTCCTCGGCGTTTATCATGCTCGAGCCTGAGTCGAGTTCGTCCTGTAGGAACTCTGTATTTCGAAATGACGCAAGATGACATGTGCTATTGAGACCAAGTCTGGATGAGGAGTTATGCACGAATGATTGATCTGAGTATTGATCTGAGGGGTTGCTGGTTTCCAATTTTTCGGCCGTGTTCAAGGCCGAGACATCACCGGCCAGTAATAATTACCAAGAACAGAGTCTGTGCTCACAGGTGGCTAGAAAAACTCATTGCAGTATCGTGCGACCCCTGAAGTCGGGCGTTTTGGTCTTTAGAAGACCTTTAAGTCCTGCGGATTGGACGAGTTCACGATTGCCATTCACGAGGTAGTACCTAGTATATTGTCTCGGAGGAAAGATGCAGCGCGCGAGACGGTTTGCTTTCGTCCGAGATACCGAAAATGTGGAGGCTGGTTTCGATTTTTTGAAGCAACAAATGGACCTAACTTGCGCTACGTCGCTGGGATTCCGTTGCTGGATCATGGTGGGATCTCATTCTTCGTAAAGTGCCATCCGAGCCAGCATAGCTTGCATTAGTGAGTCTATCTTGGCCAAGTGCCGTTCTTCGGCCCCGACACCCCCGGTGCTCGCGAGGTGAGAAGGACCGGGGTCCCCGCACACTATCCCCGCAACGATTCCTCGGCGTCTAATCCCTACTACACTTCCTCCGGAGAGTATAAGTCTTGGCTGAGGAAAGATATTATCTGCAGTCTTCGTCATCGCCGTGTTCAACAGAGTACCTAACCAACGGAACGAGACGCCGTGGTCGCAGACACTATTCATACATAGTCAAACAGGTTGAAATCACACCAGTATGACTAAGCCACCTGCTGATGCAGCGGATATCGACATGGTCGAAAACAATCGGATGACCAATGACACACCACCTGTCTTGATCGACACGGGCGAGCCAGTGATGCGGTCTAAAGAAGACGACTTCAGTGTTTGGCAAACTGTACGTCGATATAAGTTTGCCGGAAGCATAGCCATGACCGCTGCATTCTGTGCCTCCCTTGATGGCTATCGTAAGTGCTGGTCTTCGTAACTTCAAAGCAAGCGAGGTTCGGAATTTGTTTTGCTAAAGTTTTCATTTCACAGAAATTAATCTCAATGGCGGTATAGTTTCGAACAAAGGATTTATTCGGCAGATGGGCAATCCAAAAACAGGTATCATTGATGCGAAGTATGTCTCAGCTTGGGGCGGCATTCAGTCCGCAGGTCAGACAGTTGGTCAAATTGTAGATTGCCTCTACGTAACCTTCTTTGGCCGCTAAGCTTTGCTAATTCTCTCCACCATAAGCTTCTTCAGTATGCAACTGAGTCGTTTGGACGTAAACCCGCATTGCTCATCATTTGGGTCATATTAGTAGCGGTCTGTCGTGACGATTCTCATGCTCCTGATCCTCGTCAGGAATCAATTAGCACAGACCTCTGACTGACATGTTGATCTTGAACAGAGTATTTTTACAGAAACATTTGCTACTCATTGGGACCATTGGCTAGTAGCAAAGCTTTTGTCCGGTATGGGTGTGGGCATGCTACAATCAACTATGCCCCTTTATCTCTCCGAAATAGCTCCAACCCAGCTGCGAGGTTTCTTCATCAATGCGTACAGCTTGTATGTATGGAATAATATACGTTATTATTGAAGGTTTGTTAAGCTGACGTCACTGTCTATAATCAGTTGGTTTTGTCTCGGTCAGCTTTTTGCCTCGGTGGCTCTCAACAAACTTGCTCTTATGGACCCATATGACTTCCGAACTCCTATTTATACTCAGGTATCCTAGACTGTTTTTATACTTCACGACATAGCCATGGCTGATCTCACCTCTAGTGGGCTATGGTCGGTGTCATAGGAATCGTCTTTGCCGTTATACCCGAAACACCGTGGTGGCTTGCCAGCAGAGGAGAACTTGACAAGGCAGCAAAAGTTCTCCGGAGGATCAATGGCAATGTCCAAGGTTATGATGTTGTGGAGCAAGTCGTCAGTTACTCTTCACTATTTACCTTCTCAACCAAGCGATCTATAATGTTGGAAAAGCAGGTGGCTGACTTGTCTCTAGGAAGTGATGAACGCTACGGTAATGTTAGAACGACAGCATGCCGAAGAAAATGCAGAACTAGGGCAATTTGCTGTATTTCAAGGACGGAACCTTCTTCGATTTCTTATTTCAGGATGGCCGAAGATTGCCCAGCAGTTTGTTGGCCTAAGTGTGTTTAACACATACGCAACTTATTTTTGTGCGTGATGATTGCGTTCCGAATTGTCAGAAGGGAATAAATCTGACACCAGATGCAGTTCAGTACGCAGGCAACAAAAACCCTTTCATGGTAACCATCATTCTCTCTTGCGTGCAGCTTCTCTCGATGCTCGTCACAGCAACGCTCACCGATCAATTTGGGCGTCGGCCATTCACAGTTTATCCTTATTCCATCACCGTTCTCTCTGTTTTGTCTTTGGGAACTGTCGGATGTTTTGACTATACTACCAAAACACTCGGATCCCTCTTAGTAGGTTGATATTCCTGTAATGTGTATCATTGCTTAGTACGCGTCCGCTAACTCCCAATCTTCTCAGATTTTCTTTGCCTGCCTAGCTACATTTTCAACCACCGGGGCTTCCGGAATTGGCTACGCTTACGCAACTGAGATTCCGCAACAACGGTTGCGAGCGCGAACCGCAGCTTGGTCTCTAGCTACTTCGAATATGGTTGCCATTATGTTCAGCTTCTGTACACCGTTGATGATAAATGGTGACGCACAGTGGGGTGTTAAGACTGGTTTCTTGTAAGAAAGATGCCCATTTTTCAACTTATTATGTGAGGAGTAGATGCTAACGCTGAATGTGTATTTCAGCTTCGCCGGCACCGGTGCAGTTGCTGTTGTGATTGCGTGGTTTATTCTCCCTGAAGTTGCACGTCGCACTCCAGCCGAGATTGACGAGATGTAAGTATTCTTTATACAAAGTACAATGATTTGAATTTATCGGCCCAGATTAGCTAACTATTGTGATTTTCAGGTTCGACAAAAAGGTCAATCTTCGTAAGTTCGACAGATATGTTACCGAGGTTCAGATGCGAGCCGATCAAATACACGAGAAGCTACACCAAGAGACGTGAGCATTCAATAATCGCACGGTCATTGTAGTAGGAGATTTGGTGCAAGGACTAGATAGTTTTCAATTTGTTCTTGGGCTGGAACCTAGGTATGAATTTGAAACAGATACTTGGTCTAGGCAAACCTAAGATCTCGCTTCGGTCCGAGACATTCTCCTTCATCAAGAGAATCAATAAACAAGATTGTGAAACCAAATCTCGGCAACCTGAGATCTTTACACTATGAGTAACCAGGGATATGAGCTACCTTACGAAGCCTTTGGTCGCTGCTCAGGAAACGCTTTCGGAGGTTAAGATGGTAGTGTCCAAGTTTTACTGTGCTTCCTTCCAGCGACCATCTCCGACCATCTCCCTCATTGCGATTATTGTGTTCTCGACAGCAACCTTTGCCATAGCTGCCTCTTTTTGTCGCGTGTGCTCCAGCCCGGCATCATTTCCTTCAAGATCAGGGTGTAACCACTCAAATGTGTATGTCATATATAAATCCCCATCGCCACCTTCGCTAATAATGTTTTGAATCTTGCTTCCATCAGGCTGACGAAATTCTACCTTCATTGGCTGAAATTCGATACATTCCTCTCGTACGCGTCTGTCGCCATCACGAAAGATGACCTCGCGTACCGTCACAGCTTGTCCTGCCGCGGTGGTAGACTGTGAGATGACATCGGTGCTTTTGATTGTGACCCCAACGAAGTCTTCTGCCCGACGAATCTTACGTTGCAAAAGCGGCCAGATGTGTTCGATTGACAGTTTTTTCTCGGCCATTAAGGGGTTGATTGGCGCAGTATAGGCGACATAATTAGCAGCAACCATATTGAGTAGAATTGCAGCTGTGCCCGGATGTGATGCCAGTCTACAGAAAATATTGGCAATATGTTTCAATCCAGAAATTGGAATGAGAATTAAGGACGATTAGACAAAAAAGCGTTGCTTGTCATTTCGCCCGAGTCCGACGCTTCGCATTTGAATGTAGATTAGCTTACCCTCTCCTCATCTGATGACTATTTCCATAATACCAATGGAAGTGGCAGCCAATAAAATTCTACAAATATGAAGCTCGCAATGTAGGGTACGATGTAAGGTTCTGGAAGACGCTCACAGACACCGGCTCCACTCTCTGCATAGAGTTTTCTCCCCGTGCAAAGTCGTCCGCATGTTTGCTCATGCGTCATGGCTTAATCACGAATAATTTAATAGATGGTAGCCGCTCAGATAATTTGAAAAGCTAAAAGATGGTTATCGGATGAAGTTTATTCAACTTCTGAAGCAGATATCGCTTTACCTTTGGTTATGGGGATTACTCACGCTCTCAGATGATCGGCGAATTCGTACCGACGCCGGAAAATAATGAGGGGTCTATAGTATTTTGCAACATGGATTACACCATCTCCAGTACAGATATTTGACACCACAAGTCGGGACACAAACACACGATTACACATCATTTTAGGCATAATATTACTCATAAGCATAAATGTAGCAATAATACAAAGCTCTCAGCCATGGTCATCGCGGAGTGTGCATCATGAATACGCAGAAGTCTCCCAAGTACGCCTCACACTTTCCTGGTTGGATCGCTGTTCTCGTACAATCTTGCTTTTCGAGATTGATGATAGTCGACCTCAGCCTGCCCAGAATCTCCAGTTCCCTGCGTACCATGCCGTCATCAGTGCACATATCGGAATGAAACTATCCCGTCGCCTCCATGTCCAGCTTTAGAAGCCCTGACATAAGTATGACTGACTACTCCACGCTGTTCTTCAGCCTCAAAGTTGCTATTCTGTGCCCTAAGATAGCGCTTAATAGCCAGAGCCATGACGGAGCACACTAAGCAGGCTCCACTCATCACTCCTCCACCAATATAGTAGCGAGGCTTCTGAGAGTCCGGAAACATGTATGAGGTGTAGAAATGCGCTACTCCAGCGGCCATAAAATTGACAATGGCGAGAGCCGCAGCGCGTTTGGCACGGGGTCGCGGCAGCGAAGAGCTGACCCAACTCACGCAAAGGTTGTATGGAGAGTAAGCCCCGCCTGTCATGAGAAACATTGAGAAGTATCGGCCGCCGGTGGAGGGCACAAACATCGCCTTGAATGAATTTAGCCAAATCACCAATACCATTTTCCGGGAGGTCCCAACACTTACGAGAAGATTGCCAACAAGAGCAAATATCATTGGAATGGCAATATGATAGCCACGCTCATGCTTGTGTGCAGCATGGAAAGAGATTCCGAGAGAGACAATGAATGCAAAGAAATAAGGCGGTGATGTAAGGAGCAATGTCTTCGTGCTGTTGTACCCCAATGTTTCCACAATAGATGGAAAGAAGTTGTTGAACGATTGAGCGGTTATAAGAGCCATTTGCATCACCACGAACATGTACAGCTTTGGGTCAATGAGGGCCTGTTTGAGGCCCCACCAGATTGATTCAGGGTCTTCATCGACGATACCAGCATTCTCCTTGCGGATGCGCCATTCCTAAATGGATTGATAAGCGCACATCAATGAGACAAGAACATGAATCAGCACAAGCACATACCGCATATAACTGAAGGTTGCGAGGAACTAACCAATGGTTGCTTTGAAGAGGGTAGTCCGTTAAGAGAGGTAAAAGAATTATTGCTATTACGACGGTCATAGATCCTTCGATGATGAAAAGCCACTCCTACAGATTTCCATTAGCATGAATAACACGACTGCTGCATCAGAACGTACCCAAGATGGTCGACCGGCAGCGTTTTCCATACGAGAAGTTACTGAATAGAGTTAGAATCAACTCTACAAAGTGCCGAGTCTTGCATACTTCCAGCTGCTATAAGACCAGAGAAGGCGCTGGCGAGCATATTGCCGCCATAGAGAACCGCTATGCGGGGAGGCAGTTCAGCCCGACTGTACCAACAACTCATGAGGACAAACACTGCGGGTAAGAAAGGGGCTGGTGTACATTAGCAACGGTCACAGACGATGCATAGATGAGCAGACCTTCGACCAGTCCTAATAAGAATCGAACGGAAGCAAGTTGCACAAAATTCTTGGTGAAGCCTTGGCTCATTGATAAAACGCCCCAGAGCGACGTTGTTAGGCAGATATAATATGATGGCCGCACTTTGCCGATGATCATATTTGACGGGACTTGTGTCAACACATCTTGTACATGTCAGCTCAATGTAGCTCTGTTTGTACAATTTTACTCGCATCCAATGTAGAACATCATCAAACAGGTATTGTACTCCCCATTCGAAATGTTAAGGGTCTCTGTGAGACCAACGACCTTCGCGCTCGATATATTGTTTCTATCTCTGCGAAAATGTTAATATTGGCGAAGGTTGATTTGCCTACTCAAAAGATATTCAGCGTTACTCACAGAATGTTTAGAAGAAACAGCAAGAATACAACCGGCAGCAAAGTACAGTCCAACTTCTTGGTGAGGCGCTTTTCTAGACGTCTCTGTTCATCTTGAGTTAAGTGGGCGAGTTCCTCCGGCAAGGGTAGATCATCTGGCAATAAATACGTAGGCTTTTCAGCATGGTCTGTGGTACTTTTTCTTTCGATAAGGTCGGTCATTTTGTTAGTCTATCCCTTTAGTATTGGGCATCTCGAGTAATCGATTCTGGAGAGGCAAGATGTGTCTAAACAATGTAGTTTTAATACTCGGACATTGTCTAGTCTGGTCCACCCTACAACAGTTATTTTGGGAATGATGAAGCAAAGAAATGCTACTCGGAGAGAAGAGCGAAAACACATGGGACGAATCCCACCTGTGACCCCAGTCTGTGAAGGATTGCGGGGAAGGCCAGGAGAGCCCCGCCGCAAAATCCAAAGCAAGTAGACCAGGGTGGAAGCATCAGACATGGATTCGCCGGGCACAAGTGCGGTTTTGGAGTAGAGGATGTGAGCCAGATAAGCCAAGCTCCAGCGAAGTTTTGCATGTCCGTAAAGCGGATTGTCTGCGTCGATCAATGGACGAACTGCTTGGTGTAAAGTTCGAGAACAAATCAGTGCTAGTCATTGCATGTATAGAGTAGGTGAAACTACAAATTGATGCCCAATTAGATGTGATTATGAGTGAAATTGTCCCTAGTAACAGCGGGAGACTCCATATTACATTCGTTTGTCTAGCCTATGGTAGTAAATGCTCCTTACTATCACACGGCACTTGCAGGCTACGACGCTCTATCAACAAAGGGTAGGCCTGCCGACTTTTTAGTAATTGGCGGCCTTCTTTATTATTATCTATGATATATGAGTATAACGTGGGTGTCGGAGAGAAGACCGATGTAGAAAAGTATCCAATCGGAATTGACTTGCCTAGCGGTTGTTGCTCCTCATAGAGAGCAAAGAGAAAGCTCAAACTAGGGTTCTGGTGCATGACACTAATTGAAGTATTGGCATTCGCTCGAGTGAATAAGCGTGAGATGAATGCCTCCTCTCTTAGAAGTTTTCAGTATTATGACCGCCACGAGCTTTCTCAGATAGCGGTAGTAACGAAACAATTGGTGCTGATGCGCAAAGCAAGTAGACGGCTATAGAATTGCGTTATGTAGTTGTCCCAGTGCGGAAAGCCTTCTGCCTTGCTAGATGGCTCATTTGCCACAGTATAGTTTTCGCGGTGTTAGATCAACTGGTCTACTGCTTATTTGCCACTGATAGAGATAGTGTGTATATTTAATTTTCATTTCTGTCTCGTTTAATTGACGTAATAGCGCCCATGTATTCTCTATATGACTTTACATTTCAATGTCAAAGACGGCCCCATTGGCCATATAGCTACTCGGAAGTCACCATACATCCTGCTTCGATGTTGTTACCCTCAGGATCAAGGATGAATGCCGCATAGTAATTTTTGTGGATGTGCGTTCTCGGACCTGGGGCGCCATTGTCTGTTGCTCCCGCAGCTAATGCTGCCGCATGGAAGGCATCGACCGATTTCGAGTCTATAAATACATACATTGCGTCAGTTTCAAATCATACTTGACGGTCACGAAGCATGTAAAGATATATTCAA